TCTTTGGGCTTTCGGGGGGCCAAGATCTTTCCATGCATGATTGTTCTATCCTGGACCTCTTCCTGGCCACCAGGGGGCCAGGAACAGCTAGAAACGAGCACAAATAGAAATGAGCACGATTAGAAATCAACGACGTGTACTCATTGCAACCCGTCTGAACCCTCACACCTGTGCCCCTACGTCTTTTAAGTTATGCCTGGTGTTGGGCTAGGTTGTGCCACCAAGTCGTGGTTGTTGGGCGAAGGGATCCGTCTCGAAACCTGTCTCTCCTTACGTCTCCTCGCCTTCCTCCTGGGGAAGGCTCGGAGCTTCGGAGCTCCCAGCTCCATCGCCCAAGCTCGGGGCTGGCGTATCTTTTCGGCGTCGTGGTGTGCTCCCGGATCTCCACCCGCGGGGAGACGCAGCTCGTCCACATGGCGGTCGGCATCGCCCTCCTGCTCGCCAACGCCGCCTTCTTCGTCGACATGCCGGAGGGAGGGGGCGGGGGTTAGGAGAGGGCATCGGCAGCGCGCCGAGGGGGGGGCAGCGAGACTGGGCAGGCCTTCTCAGAAGGCGGTGGGGCTTCTCAGAAGCCCTCCGTCCTGCTGAGAAGCCTTGAGTCGGGCCGGTCCCTCTACAGGGGGAATATTCAAAAATAGTCAACAAATAGTCGGGGGACGATTTTTCGACTATTTTTGCCCATGTGCGGGGTATGTTTCTGAGAAGCCCCGGGGACGAACCCAAACGGTATTATGGCGATTTTTCCTGGGCCGTTGTCGTTTCGATGTCGTTTTGCGGTAGAGGCGGACTGAACACGAAACGAGGGAAAACGAAAACAAGACGAAAACGAAAACCACCGTTTAGGTTCAGCCCTGAGAAGCCCTGTGTGGCTTCGGAGAAGTTTTGGAATCTTCTCAGGAAGCCCGAGGCCTTCAAGGCCGCCTGACAAGGCTCACCCCCTCGGCCAGCCCCATCCCGACGTGCAGGCGAGGACTCACAACTATTCGCTGGCCTCTGCATCCGCCCTGCAACATCATCTTCGGCTGCCGGCGGCTTGATACTGTGTTTGCACTGGTCCTGTGAAGTCAATTGTTTCGACGACGTATGCCCCCCAGGAAAATTAAGCAACAAGGACAGACGTCATTGGTGTATGCGGCAGCGGAATGGAGTTTCACACCCAGGCCAGCTTGCGTTCGGGCCGCGACCCGCTAAGAGGCTCCGAAGCCTCCGACCCTGTTCTGATGAGGTTCGGCCATCTCCTCGACTCATCTTTCTCATTCCGTCGCCATTTCGGCTCAAGGGGGTTGGCCGTGCGACAACCAGGCTGCGCGTTTGGTGTTGCCATGCGCCAGTCCAAACGATGTCGTGAATGATGCCGTAGAGCTTCGATGTGATATCCGTTTGGGGCCATCCACATGCATGGAGATACGGATCAGCTTGCGAATCCGTACTCCGATGCCGTTGCGTGCGCTGCACGCTCACTGGCTCGGTTTGGACATTGAAGCGCGTGCGGGTGTTGCCACACCCGCGTGGGTCTGGTCCGTGGCCAGACCGTATTGGATTGAAGCATGGTTCGTGCTTTCCTACACTTTGCTGTGCCGTTGTCGTTCGGCACATACGCATCGTGTGCTTTAGGAATGCGTGTGTCGCGATGTCCTGCACTCGTTTCTGCGCGTGCTCGGTGTCTTCAAGCACGTATCCCCTACCACGCCGTCGACCTACAGCGCCATTAGCCCGGCCGTGGCTCATCCTTTCTGCTTCGTTCCTCCTGCTTCCTCCCCCTTCTCCTTAGTTACCCTCGTCCGCCTTCCCCTCTTCGTGCTGCTAGCTGTTCCTCACTTTCCTCGTTTCCCTCGTGGCATGTGTTGAAGGGACGGATCTTGCGCATGAGCAGGTCTGGTGTGCGTTCTCTCGTCAGGCTCCATATCAGACCGCGGAGCCGTCGCTCCCAGGGAGAAGGGATGACGCATCGTGCCCTCCTTGATCCTCATCGTTTTCGTGGACGTTCTCCTTTTCCTGCCCCTCCTCATTGTCGTCCTGCTTCTCGCAGCCTTGTATCCCTGCTCCTCGATTCCCCCTCCCACGCTCCTTACTGACAGCGGCTGCAGTCAGCGGAGCGCTTTTGTTCCCCCCTCTCCTGCTCGTCCTCTTCCCCGTCCTCGCCAGCAGTCCTCTTCCTCCTCGCCCTCCGTCCGAGCCTGCTCTCCTCCTGGCCGTGCGCCGCGGAGCAGGGGAGGGCTTCTGCTACCCCGCCCAGCGGGTCAGCTGGCTTCTCGAGTGCTGGCGGTTCCTTGGCTTCTGCCTCTTCGGCGTGCTCGTCGTCTGGGAGCTGCAAGAGGGGTATGCCCACCAGGAGGGCCCGGGGAGGATGAGGAAGGGGGAGAAGAAGTATGCGGAGGGGGGGGAGGGGAGGGGGAGGAGGAGAGGGTCATCGGAGGATGAGGAGCAGGAGCAGGAGGAGGGGGAGGAGGAGGAGGAGGAGGAGGAGGAGGAGGAGGAGGAGGAGAAGGAGGAGGAGGAAGAAGAGGAGGAGGGGGAGGATGAGGAGCAGGAGCAGGAGGAGGGCGGGTGGAGAAGGGATGGGAGCCTGTGAAGGGGGAGGATGCGCAGAAGCGGGACCGCGAGATGGGCAGGGAGACTCACCGTGAAGGAGAGAGCCCCGAAGGAGGGGGGTTTTGAGGCTTTTCGCAAGCTCCGTGGAGGAGGGTGCGCAGAAGCAGTGCCAGGAGATGGGCAGGGGGAGACTCACCGTGCAGGGGGGGGGGGCTCTGCAGGGAAGGAGCTCTTTGGAGCTTTCCGTGTAATGTTCTGCCTCCTGGGCCCCGGGCCGTCGAGCACACCGTATCCCTGAGGACTCCTTTTCTAGGCCTCCTGGATGAGGTCGGAGCAGAAGATGGGGTCGGAGGATCGCGCCGCACCGCCGATGCATCGCCGATGCGGCTCGACGTGGAGCCCGATGTGCTCCACGCCGACGTCGCCGATGCATCCCCGACGCGTCGCCGATGCATCGCAGATGCATCGGCGAGGCGGCGCGCTCCTCCAACCAAATCTCCTCCGACCCCATCTACTCCGACCTCTCTATCAAGAGGCAATGGATGGCATGGAGCAGGGCCAGGAGGAGAGATACAAAAAGAAGAGGAGCCATGCGAGGTGTTCCGATGCCTCTCTGGTCCCACATCCTAGTGGCTCACGCACCTAATACATGTTCAGAATCTTGCAGGCGAACTCCTCGAATTCATCGGGGCAGACGGACACCTCCCTGCTGAGTTGTTTTCAGCTCTGGTTCCTATCCTCAAACAAGACAAACAGGGCCGCACTGGAGCGCGCATCCTCTCGTCCTACTCCTCCTCTTCGTCTCCCTCCCCCTCCTCCCTCCCCTCCTGCTCCTCGCTCCCCCTTCCCCTCCTGCCTCCCCCTCCTCCTCCTGCTCCTCGCTCCCCCTCCCCCTCCTGCCTCCCCTCCTGCTGCCTCCCCTCCTGCCTCCCCATCCCGCCCCTGCCTCCCCCCTCCCCTCCTGCCCCCCCTCCTGCTCCTCCCTCCCCCTTCCTCTTTGTCTCCCTCCCCCTCCTCCCTCCCTCCCCTCCGGCTCCTCCCTCCCCCTCCCCCTCGCTGCCCCGACGGGGTGGTGCCCGGGCTGGGGTGGCGCGGACCAGGTCCCCCTTGGGGAAGCCCACACGCCCCGAGGCCGCCCGGGGACGTCCACGCGCCCCGTGGCCGCCCGACCACGGGCTCGCTGCTGCGGGGCGGCCTGCGAGGGGCAAGCTCTCCACCGCCGCCACCACACCTAGGATGGGGGAGAGAAGGGGGAGGAGGAGGAGGTCCCTCCTCCTCCTCCTCCCTCTCCTCCTCCTCCTCCTCTCCTCCCTCCTCCTCCTCCTCCTCCTCCTCCTCTCCTCCTCCTCCTCCTCCCCCCTCCTCTCTCCTCCTCCTCTCCTCCTCCTCCTCTCTCCTATCCTCATACCTCCTCCTCCTCCTCCTTCTCCTCCTCCTCCTCCTCCTCCTCATCCTCATCCTCATCCTCATCGTCCTCCTCCCTCTCCTACCTATGGTGGTGGTGGCGGTGGAAACGGGGCCCATCAGCTTGGCGGACCCCTCCCCTGCGGGGGGGAGGGCAGGCGTGTCGCTGCAGGCCAGGTCCCCAGAAGCGGCTGCTCCGCCGGCCTCCCCGGCGCCCCCAGCTGCGCTCGGCGGACGTCTGGGGCCCCGGGCCGCGCCCCTGGATGTCAGGATGGAGAGGTGCTACAGTCGGGGCGCTGAGGAAGGAACCCTTTTCGTTGGGGAGGGGCTCGGTGTTCCTTAGTTGTTTTGCAGTTCGCCTTTGGTTTTGCTCAGGGCTTCGATGGGAAATCGAAGTGAAACTTATGGGGGAAAAGAGGCCTCGTTCCTTATTCAGGGCTCCTTGGGTCGACGCCCCGACTGTATTAGAAGGCCCCGAGATGCGAGGGCGTCATCTCGTCAGTCCGTCGGTGTTTTTTTTCCCCTGGGTGTCGGCCTCCGGGGCCCGTCCTCGGGCCATGAGGGGGCCATGAAAAAGGGGATCCGGGGACGAGGAGCCACCCTCCCGGGAAGGGTTCGGGACCTCTAAGGACGGGACAAAACACGCAGACACAATCAATTGTCGACTCCCAGAAAGTAGGGGGAAAAATGGGGAAAGGGTGGGGGGGGGAAACAGAGGCCCAGAAAATACAGGAAACTATGGGGAATATGTTTATGTGTGTATTTATTTGTGTGTCCCAGGGCCCCTTCAACCTCGCGGGTGGAACAAAACCAGATCGGCGGCTGGTTTGGAGGGTCGTTTCGCGCTCCCGCCAGAGCGCTCCTCGGCCAGCCGTCTGCGGCGGCCTGCGTGCCTCGGGATGGCGGCAACGAGCTCACCAAGACCCTGACCTTCCAGAGAGCTATTTTTCAGCACGGGAGGCCTAAAGGCCTAAAACACGAAACGAAAAAAGCGTAAAACCAAGACGTAGAATAGCTCTGGGATCGGTTTTTCAGTTGCGTGCTATTTTTTTGTTGCCCTCCTGGAAGGTCAGGGGAGCCCAATTTCACGAACCCTCCCTGCAGGCAGCAAGTGCGGCTTTCGGTGGGCTCGCGTGGCCCCGAGGCCCCCGAGGCCTGCCCCCGAGGCCGGTTTTTAAGCCGCGTGCTATATTTTTTAGCCCTCCTGGAAGGTCGGGGGAGCCCAATTTCACGAACCCTCCCTGCCAAGCAGCAAGTGCGGCCTTCGGTGGGCTCGCGTGGCCCCCGAGTCTTGGGCCGAGGCCTGCCCCCCAGGGCGGCTGCGCGGTGCGCGTCATTAAGGCCCCCCCCCCCCGGGGCGCTGGAGCCCCGCGGGTGGCGGGCGGTGCGCTGCGCTGCCTCGGGGGGGCTCCTGTGGCGCCGTGCGCCGAGCGCCGCCCGACGACGACGACGACGACGACGACGACGACGACGACGACGACGACGACGACGACGACGACGACGACGACGACGACGTCGCGCGAGTCATTCCATCACTCGGCGGCCAGCCCAGGAGGGGCAGCGAGAGGGGGCGGGCCTTCCCAGGGGGCTCAGGAGCCCCCCAGCCTTCCGAGAGGCTGTAGGAGCCTTCCCCGAAGGCACAGAACTCAGGAGGGAAAAAACACACAGACACAATTAATCGTCGACTCCCCGGAAAATATAGGAAAATATGGGACGTGGGGGGGGAAGACAAAAAACCCAAAAATATAGGAAAATATAGGGAATAGTTTTATTTATGTGTATTTATTTGTGTGTCTTGGGGCCCATTCAAGAACACGTCTCAGAAGGCGCGAGGGCTCCGGAGAAGTCCCGCATCCTTTTCAAAAGGACGCCAAGACGGCGTGACGCCGGGACGCCTCCCCCTCGGGGCTGTCTGGTCTGCAGGGTGTCGTCGTTCTTCGAGGACGCGAGGCGGGATACTCAGGGACTACCGGTATCCTGCTGGTGCGTGGTTCTTCGTCGAGGACGCGAGGCGGGATACTCAGGGATTCCCGGAATCTTGTGCGGTCTGGCGACCGCGGTGTGCAGGGTGGGCCGACGAGAATTATCTTGACAGCCCAAACCTGTCGGGATGGGAACAATATCCGCACTAAAAGGGTACAATATGTTGACATTCGCGTGCGCGCTTTAGGGCCTTCTCTTTCTCGTAGCCTACCGCTCTGGAGGCGTGCGCAGGACATTGCGTAAGGTCGCCGAGGCTTCACGCGCAGGTTTTCGCCGCCCGCTGTATATTCGGGTGTCGTTGTGGCTAGAGGTGTCGATGTACTCCAGCTGCCTGGGTCCCAGCTCTTGCTCGAAGTGGTCGGCGTCGTTCTTCTACCCCCCGTGGACTCCGCATCTCCCGATGCCGATTCCTTCGCGCGAGGGTGCGCGAAGAAGCAGTCAGTTTGCGCAATCTCTGACTTGTTTTCGCACCGGCTGGAGCCGTTTAGCCAGGGCTCGGATTGGAACATTCAGTGGACATACGTCAGGCGGTGGTTGAACGCCACGTTGCCAAATTGCTTTCAAGCATCTTGAAGACGCCGACGTGCGAAACTCGTCATCCTCATTGCGCTGACTGTGTGGACACGATGTTTGAACCACAGCTGATGTGACTCCACCTGCAGTCAAGTCCAATTGTCAGGTACAGTTCACGCTGCATCAAGATTGCCCTTGCATCCTTGCCTCTTCGGCCCGTCCCTATTTGAACATGCTAGTCGTGTGCGGCTAAAGCTCTTTCAACGTAGACGTGCAAGGGTCTCCCGTCCTTACCTGGCATCCCCACGTTGGAGAGAGAGAGAGAGAGAGCGACAGAGACAGAGTCATATACACATTGTTCATTTCTATGGTTTCGAGAGTTCTTTGATTTCTTGGGGGGCCAAGATCCTCTCATTTCTAATTCTTCTATCCTGGGCCTCTTCCTGGCCACCAGGGGTCCAACGATTAGGTGCGAGCATAATTAGAAATGAGCACGATTGGAAGTGAACGACGTGTATATTCACACCGATCGAGAGAGGCAGATAGGGGGATGCGCAATTCACGGTAGGCTTCTCTCATGCTCGGATGCATCTCGCGTGTTTATGTTTCCACTCCACGGCCTGCCCAGGCATACCAGTCTCTCTTTCTCTCTTGACTGCCAATAAGGAGGCCCCGCTCTCCCGGCAGGGGGTGCGGGCGCCACAGGCCACTACGTTCTGTTCGGTTCGCCTCTCAAGCCTGCATCCCTACTGTGGGCTTCCGTGTGCCACCGAGTCCGTTCCACTACTCGCAGAGTGCCGACTCGCAAACGTCCGGAAAGCGCATGTCCGCTTCACTGGAATTGATCGTTGATCCCCCGCGGCGGATGCAGGCCACTTGCGGGTAAGTATTTTGCGAGTCTCAGAGCGTCAATTACCTACCCCGCTTTCGCTTCCAGGCAAAACCAAGCCATACCACGCGCCTCCTCGTCAAGCGGCCTGACCAGTACAGGCTGCAATTTGGCAGCGTTTGGTATCTCTTGGAAGCGAGGGTGGTCAAAAGCGAGGTAGGTTTGCTTTCCCCCTGGAGTCCTGGAACGCGCTCGTCGAGTGTGGCCATCGGGGGCGGCCGCGTGGCCTCGGGTGGGCAGCGGGCCCGGTGGACTGCACGCGCCGCTGCACGCGTGGACCGCCCTCTCGGCCAGGTTCCCGTGGGCCGCCCTCCGGGCCAGGCTCGTCCGCCTCTCGCGTCCTCCTCGGTCCCGTCCTCCTCCTCCTGATCCTCCTCCTCCTCTTCGGGGGGAGGAGGACGCGGGCGCTGGAGCACGAACAATACCGAATGAACAACACAACAGCGAGCAGCACCTCGGCTCTGGCGGCAGAGGCGTCAGGAACACCATTGGAACCCCAAAGCAACAGACAACACAGACCCCAGGGGAAAAACCGTCCGCGGGGATACGTCCGATGGTGACTCCACACTTCCCCGTGTACCAAACAAGGTCCGAGCCCTGGGGAGAGCATTCGAATTGAAAAGCACAGTGGTCACCTGGCAGGGGGGATCAACAACAATCGTTGCATAGAAAGGGCATTTCAATACCAACAACAACACCAACACCAACAGCAATAACACTACGCACAACAACAACAACAACAACAACAACAACAACAACAACAACAACCACAACCACAACCACAACCACAACCACAACCACAACCACAACAGCAGCAGCAACACTAAACACAACACCACCAACCATGTTTGCATTGTTCGCTCTTATCTGCTCGCGTTCCATTTAACACGTATATCCCACACCCTCGATACCCGCCCTCTTCGTCTGCGATCGTACCCCCTTGGTGGTAGATCTTTTTCAACTGCAACGTGTATTTCGTGCAGCCCTAAGGCAGGGGAAGAGGGGACGGACGGAAGGATGAGACAAGGGGGAGGGAGGAGGATGCAGCACGAGAGAGATAGAGTAGCAGGAGGGGGGCCGAGAGCAGAAAACACGTAGCAGAAGCAGATGGGCAGATCGGGCGGGCTGGCCCTATAACGGGCGGGTCGGGAAGGCGGGCCCAGGCGGCCAGGTCAAGCAGGCGGGTTGCTGAAGCGTGCGTCCTGCATGAATCGCGAAGGAGTCTCGAGCGATGGCACCATCCCCAAGCACACCGTGAGAACACCACAGCCAGAGCGTGATTCCTGAGTGTCGAGGGCGCGGCGTCGGAATACATGGCGAGGAGGTCCCACGCGAGAGAGCACGATACCTCCAGCAATTGCGGGGAAGGCCCGCGCGAGAGCACGATTTGGGAAGTAAGTTGGGAGGACGTATCCGGCGGGAGCCGCTGTTGTTTTAAACCGGATGCCAGGGGCGCAGTTCGGTGACACAACCCACGTTCTCTCATGAAAAACAGGGTGCGAGCCCTGGGAGGAGTAGTTCAATTTGAAAAATACATTGGTCACCAGAGGGGGGTCAACGAAAATTATTGTAACATGGTTTTTAGGGCCTATGAGGGAAGTCATACGGGCCGACCCCAAAGTCATGCGACAAGCCCTGGGCGATCTGTTAATGTGGGTGGCGTGGCACTTCAAACGGCTTAATGATAACCAACGCAGAGAAATCGAAATGGCCACGCCATTTGATGCTGTGTATATGCCCTGATGGTTTGCTCGGTTGAATTTGATATTGGTGTTCTTGCGGTTGGTGTGATGCGTGTTGTTTGTGATATTGTGATAGGCATTCCCGCTGGCAAGTTACCGGGGGCGCACTTCGTATGCAGGTGTATACTTGCACGCATCTATCGAGAGAGGGAGAGATAGAGATAGAGAGAGAGAGAGAGCGGGCAGCAGGTTAAGGCGATATACAGTTACACACGGCTATACACTGGTCAGACAGATGAATTTTCGTTGCATGCAGACAGCACGTCGCAGGACAAGCGCTGGGACGACTTCGAGAGCAAGCGGTGGAGACGCATCTCCGATGTCAATTTACGCTATCTGTTGACATGCTCTCGTGTTGATATAAGTGTCCTAGTGTATGTCAATCGGAGCCCACTTCGGTTCGATCGTTCATGTTCGACATCGGTGTTGGTTGGCCCGAGCCTGTTCACATTCAATTATTGACGATTTGCGTACCCCCACCATCGGAGACTTTCTTGAGGCCTCTTGGAGGCTATCTTGAGCCATGCTCGGCCAGAGGCTGTCGCAGGCTATTTTGAGCCATGCTCAGCTATTTGTGGCCATGTGAAGGCTACCTTGAGGCCTCTTGGAGGTCTGTTGGAGGCCATCTTGAGCCATGCTCGACCTCCTGGGACCATCCTGGGGGTACGAAGAAGAAGGAGGAGGAGGAGGTGGAGGCAAACGAGAGAAGGAGAAGGAGGCATGCGGCACGAGGAAGATGAGGAGGAGGAATAGGAGGAGGGAGGAGGCAGGAACGGAGGAGTGAAGGAACGGACGATGACAAGGAGGATGAGAGGTCGGGCTTTGGAGATAAGTTGTTGTGAGAGGTTCTTGAAGAACGAATGAGGCTATCTTCGGGGCTGCCTTGGGGTCTCCGTTGGGCCTCTTGGGGTACTCTCGGGGCCCTCTTGGGGGTTGTTTTGGGGGTCTTGGGGCCCTCTTGGGGCTCATTGGAAGGGGTCTGGGAGGCCTCTTGGGCCCCATGGCTCAAAAGGGGGGGTAGCATCCCCCCCCTCTTTCGTAGGCTCACTAATTGCGTCTTGGGGACCTCTTAAGCCGCTCTTGGAGCGCTCTTGCTTGGAGCATTGTTGGGGCCCTCTTCGGACTCTTGTGCTCCTCTTGGGCCGTCTTGGGGCCATCTTGAGGCCTCAAAAGCCCATCGGACGCGAAACGAACGAGAAGGCACAGCATATTGAGTTTTCTTCGAGCCATGTTGGCCTTTTGGTGTGGGTCCTCGGAGGGCTCGGCGGGCTCTGGAAGCCGTCTTTGGGCCATACTGAGGTTTCTTAGGTGTGCGTTGGAGGTTATCTTGAGCCATCTTGGGGTATTTTCTCCCATCTTGGAGGGGTGGAGGTAGGGGGGAACCCCTCCCCCGAGGCTTTCGCACACAGAAGACACAAGTTCGTTCAACCACCTATGCCCAGAGGTCTGCTGAGATTTGCTGACGTTCCGATGCGGCCCGGTGTTTAGACTGCATAGTTGTGCACCTTGGCGCGGCCGATCGGATTCGGCCTAGGTTCCGTTTTCACGCGACGGGGTACGATGTACTCGCTGATGTGACCCGATAGGATAAGGTGAGGTTGCTTGTTATTGGCGTTGTAGTGTGCCGCGCATCATGCAGGCGTGGCTGCAGGACGCGCAGTTCATAGATCTCAAATGCTCCGCTCAACGCGCTACAGGGACAAGCGGCCACCGGTATAGACCATAGCAATTGTCATTGTAACGCCACGCCTCGCATCACTGACGGGCATCATCATCACCACTATTGTTGCGCCGATCCTTCAGTGCCTCCGCCTGGCGCTCCCCGCCTGCTGGTTTTGGGAGGAAGGTACCGAAAAAGACAGGTAGAGCAATACGAAACACCAAACGAAACCAAAACGAACACACAACGTTTGGGTCCAGCCCTGCTCGCAGGAGGTCGCGGAATGCGTTGACTTATTCCCATGATTGGGGGGTTCGTCAGTGAGGAGGCTGGCCAGGGGCCGCCTGGGCCTGGGACATCGGACAAACAGTTCGCACACCGAGAAGGAGAGAGAGAGAGAGAGAGAACGAGAGAGAGAGAGAGAGCGAGCGAGCGAGCGAGAGGGACAACGAGAGAGAGAGAGAGAGGGAGAGAGAGAGAGAGAGAGCGATAGAGTGAGGGAGAGAGAGGGAGAGAGAGAGAGAGAGAGACCGAGCGAGATAGTGATCTAGAGGTAGCAATACGGGAATTAGGTGTACGTATCCGTATGCATATATATATAGAGAGAGAGAGAGAGAGAGACGAACACCGATAGAGCGAGAGAGAGAGGGAGAGAGAGCTCGCGGGCAAATAACAACACTGAGCGAGATATTGCGGATTAGGCGCAGAGGGGGCGAGAAGCGGAGGAGGAGAATGCATATCACGCGTTCGGAGGGGGTAGAAGGGGAAGAATGAGGAGGAGGAGAAGGAGGAGGAGGAGGAGGAGGATGCGGCGGAGTTGAAGAGGGATGGAGAGGATCAGGTTGAGGAAGGGAGGGGCGGGAGGGGGGGGTACCAGGAGAAAGAGGAGGAGGTGGAGTGGGACGAGGAAGAGGGGGAGGAGGAGAGCGAGGAGGAGGGGGGGGAGGAGGCAGAGGGAGAGGGAGGGGGATTATGGGAGGGGCTCAGCAGCGGCACGTGTGCAAGTCCTCGACGCGCGCAGGCTGCCATGCGATCCGTATTTCTTCAAAACAAAGGGGTCCTCCGCGAGCCAGTTGGAGGATGCCACAGCGAGATGAGGACAGTCGGCCGTGATTGGCAGGTCGACCCTGCCAAATCAAGGGTACCCGTGTGTCCTGTGCCTCACAACCCATGCGTCCTGCATTCCTGTGGCAATGTGGCCCTCGCAAGGGTCTTGAGCCCTCTCGCGTGTCCTGTCCAATCAGGTCCGACTGTAGTAAGGGTGAGGATGAGGAGGACAGATGAGGAACGAGCGAGGGAGAACGATGCGGGGCAGCATAGGCATACCATGAGACAAGGGGGAGAGAGAGGAGGCAGCAGACGATGACGATGGGCAGAGAGGAGAAGGAGGTAGACGGTTTAGGGTTCTTGGCCTTTGGCCCGCAATGCCCAAGGCATGGACGACGAACAGGAGGAGGAGTCAGGACTCGGAGGAGGAGAGGGGAGGAGGCGGGCCCCATGCGCGAGGAGCGGGAGGAGGAGGAGGAGGGGGAGGAGGCAAGCTATGTGCGCTCGCGTCATATCTGACGTCCTACCCCTCCCTCCCATCCCTGACCACTGGCGTAGATCTATTACCTATTCGCACAGTCGGATGTCGAGCAGGGCGATGATCCCGAGAGGGTGCGCAATGCATCGTTGAGCACGACATAGCAGGACGTAGAGGAGCACGGCATAGCGTAGTATGTCATAGCATGGCGTAGCGTTGCGTAGTGAAGACTTGCATCACAAAGCATGGCAACGCGCATAATGGCATCTCACGCTGGCACATAACATAACATGACATGCCATGGCGTTGAAGATCAAAGCGTAGCATGGCATAGCATGGTGTGGCATTGCGTAGTCAAGCTCCGCGTATTCTAGCATTGTAGCTGCATGTATGGCATCGCACAGCAGAACACATAGCATTGCATTGCATGCCGTGGCATGGCACCGGAAATAATGATGCTAGCGCTGCAGCGGGAGCACGATTCGGAACGAGAAGAGGCGCGGAAATGAGGCCAGCGCTGCAGCGGGAGCACGATTTGGAACGAGCGGAAGCCCAAAAATGCGGCCAGCGTTTCAGCGGGAGCAGAATAAGCGAAAACCCAATTCCCGGGAATCTCGCATAACAGACAATACGCGGAGGGGGGACAAACATCTTCTGGACGTCATCAGGGGAGAGAGGAGAGTAGTGTTTATATCGTGTCATAATAGAGGGAGGAGGGGGAGCAGGGCAATGGAAGAGGAGCACGCACGGCCAGGTGGAAGACAGGCATCACCGTGTTGGGCAGCGCCTGTGCTCTGTACTACACGTTGAGACTGTCTCCGATCTTCAGGACGCGGGAGGGAGCGATGGCTGACTCTTCTTGAGTTCGCGTCCGCAGTCGTGTGGATGTTGATGCAGGGTGCATTCGGTGGCAAATCATGGGACCCTGGTATACCCTCTGAATTCCGTCTTTAGTGTCGATTGGCGTCGATTCGCGTCTGGAGTCGATGAGATAGCGCCGATGTAGCGTCGGCTACCGTCGATTCGCGTCGATTTAGATTCGATTTGACGTCGATTCGCAAGAGCCGACAAGATTCTATGGGAGGCTCCCATGAACTGCCACCGGAGGGTGCAGGAGAGCAGAGAGGAGGAGGACGAGGTGGAGGAGGAGCAGCACCAGTAAGGCGGAGCACGATGCAACGAAGACTGCAACGAGAGGGGCAACCGGAACGCCACACGGCCGTACCTTCTTCCGGAGGACGGAGGAGGGGAGATTTTGGAGGCAGTAAAGGAGGCTTTGAGGGGAGGCTTTGGGGAAGGGGAATGGAGGAGGGGATGCTTTGGAGGAGGGGAGGCTTTGGAGCAGGAGGAAAGGAGGAGGAAGGTGGTCGGCAGGAGGAGGAGGAGGAGGAGGAGGAGGAGGAGGAGGCAGGAGGAGGAGGAGGAGGGAGCGGACGACGAGCCTCCTCCCTCCCCCCCCCCCCCTCGTCCCCACTGTCCTCCCTCCCCTTCTCCTCCCTCCTCCCTCTGTCCTCCCCTCCTCCTCCCTCCTCCCTCCTCCTCCCCTTCTCCTCCCTCCTCCCGACGATGAGCCTCCTCCCTCCCCTTGTCCTCCCTCCCTCGTCCCTCCCCTCTCCTTTTCTCCTCTCTCCTCCCCTTCTCCCCTCCCGCAGGTCCCTGCTCTGGCGCGCGTCGCGGGCCTTTTCGGTGGCAAGCCGAGGGGGGCAGGCTAGGGGGGAGGAGGGGTGCTCCTCAGAAAGGGGGAGGGGGGGGAGCAGGCTGGGGGGGGGGGGAGCAGCTAGGGGGGGGCTCCTCAGAAGGCACCGCGCCAATTACGTCATGGATGGTCTCCCCAGTGCGAGAGCCTCCCTGCCCTCTCGGAAGGCCACTCTGCGCCCTGCGCTTCTGGGCGCGCCGCCAATATCACTGTCGATCTCCCTGACCCGCTGTGCGTGGGTGACAGAGGGAGGAGGAGAGCGATGCATGAGGAGAAGGACGAGGAGGAGGAGGAGGAGGAGGAGGAGGAGGAGGAGAAGGAGGAGGAGAAGGAGGAGGAGGGAGGGGGAGGAGGAGGAGGAGGAGGAGGAGGAGGAGGAGGAGGAGGAGGAGGACATCCGCATCCATCGATGGGATACGGACTGCAATGAGGGAGCAGATTGCCAGGTTTGCGTGCATGCGTGTGCAGCAGAGTAGCACGGCCCCCTTTCTTGGCCTTCTGACGATGGTGGCTACGACTCATATTTGCGTCACGGAGGAGGTGGACATCCGCATCCATCGATGGGATACGGACTGCAATGAGGGAGCAGATTGCCGGGTTTGCGTGCATGCGTGCGCACAGTAGCACGACCCCCTTCTTGGCCTTCTGACGATGGTGGCTACGACTCACATTTGCGTCACCTTTTGTGTACCCAGTCATGGATTTTCGCGCCTCTCCACGAGTCCATGAAGGACCGGCCGCCAGGCGCGTTGCCCTGATCCTGTAAGTGGGGAGCCATGCGGTGCAAGGACAGATGCGAGGCAGCCACGAGGCCGAAGCTCGGAGGCAGCAGGAGCACATATCTGGGAGTGGATCTGCCGAGCATGCCGTCCGAGGATCATCAGCCACGCGCAGAGGGGGGTGGGGGGAGGGGGGGGGGCTTCTTAGAAGCACCCCTGCTTCTTAGAAGGCGCGGACCTTATCTATAGATGTAAGGCCGGCGCCTTCTAAGAAGCAGCCTGCTTCTAAGAAGCCCTCCCCCCTCCCCCCACCCCCTTGTGCGCGCCGCCCAAGGATCAGAACAGAAAAATGCACATACGATCAACAGGGTTTTGTTGGTTTTACGCCGGAAGGGGGAGTCGTTGAGAGGGTGCCTGGCACGGATGCGGGGATCGGGGTGGCGTCGGTGTTTGGAGCTGGCGGTTTGCGTGGCAAGTGCGCTTAGCTGGCCGCAGTTGTCTGGAACGCGTGATGGGTGGCAAGGCCGCTCACCAGCAACTGGCAGTCCTCTGCCCGCGTGCCAGAACATATCGTCGCGCGCTCGCAGCGGGGTGTGGGGAAAGGAGGTGAGGAAGTGAACGCGAGTTTCCTTTCCAAGAAGTCCCTTCGATAGGCAGCAAACAGCTTTTCTATTCAGATGCCGCACGGCCAACCGAACGAACGAACGAACAACTATCTCGGCGCGCAGTGTTAGCTTCGCTTGCGCGCATCCTGGCTTCCTTCCGTTGTTTCCTTCGCTTCTTTCTCGCCCTCCTCTTCTATTCCTAATCCCCTGCTTTGCCTTGTCCCGCCCCCCATTCATTTCCAGCTCGGAGCTGTCATCGCGCGCGAAAAGCGCAACCCAAAGGGTGTTGCTGTAATTCCTTTGTGTCACGAAGTCTCGTATAATTCCTTTGTATGCGGTCTGGTTGCATTGCGAACGCGGGGGGTGCACAAGGGTTGTTCTTTTGTGTACGATCGTGTTCGCCGGCCTCACAAGAGCGCGCGCGATTCTTTTGTGTAGAGCTTGTTTTCCCGCCTCGAGGAGCGCGCGGGGCCTGTCGCTACAAACACAAGGCCACGGCGCCTGGCAGTGCGCTGCAGCTGCGGCAGATGCCACGCCCAAAACGATCCTGCGTGGATTTCGGCACTTATGCCGGAATCGCGCTGGCAGCTGGCCAGCCGCATCGCCGGCCCTGCATGCCCGCGCGCGCTACTGCGTTCTGCTGCCGCGACGCGTGCTGCTGTCAACGGATGAACAAACTCATGTTGCATGGTGGTTAGGTAGTGCAAAACCACCGTGTGATGTTCGTTGGTCGCGGAGCTTGGGATCTTGTCGCCGCCGACAGCGCTGCCACACCATACTTTTTTCAACGGCATCTTAGAGCACGGCCGTGCATCAACCCTGTTTCGGATCGCCGGGGATTCAGTGGCATGGGCGCACATGCGTTGCGCAGTTGGTGGTACCAAAACTTTTTTGTGTGAGATCCCTTTGTGTGTTGATTCTGGTTCCGAAGGAAGACGAGGAGGACGCGGATGATAATGTTGTGATGGAGAAGGCGGAGGGAGGAGGCCTTCCGTCACGCTTATAAAATACAACAGCTTCTGCGTCTTATATCAGCGCATCTGCGCATACTGCCCTCTGTGGTGGGACTGTCGAGCAGTCTGTGGGCCATCCTGGAGGACGCAAGCCACAAAGGCAGCAGCGCCGATTCGCTTTACCCTCGTGGAACACGGCGAGTCGCCCCTTGTAGCCCCTGCGGATTTTTTTTTGAGGCGGGGTGGGAGGCCCTGTTGGGGCTCTCTTTTGCGATATTGGGGCCATATTGGTTTGCCAGGCCCATCGCAAGCGAAACGGCGAAACAACACCAACCACTGAACAAACTTGGGTGTTTGAATAAGCGTGGCCTATCTTGGGAGGTCCCGTGGCAACTTGGAGCCGTCTTGGAGCGTTCCTGTGGCCCGTGGGGAGCGCGTTTGGGATCAGATTCGCAATGCTGGGCTATGCCGCGCCATCTTGGAAGACGCTGCCGCCGCTACTGCAATACTATTGCAGTAGCCATCTCGGCCGCCTTTGCCGCTCGAGCCTCTCAGGCCCCCTCCGCCCAGACCCCCGGGGGGGAGGAGGCCTCCCCTCACGAGGCGATTGGATTTCCTCGAGTCCGCTGGGCGGTCACACAGCCCCGGCGTGGGGTGGGCCCCAAGACGGCGACACGGCGGCCCCAGGTTTGCCAGACCAGACCGGGCAAGACACGGCAAGAGGCGGCACGACCTCGAATACGTCCGTGCCAAGACGGCTTCTGAGAGGCCCAGACCCCCCAAGCACCAGAGGCAGAGTCATGACCTTTGCCTTCGACGCCTCGTCGCTCCCGAAGGGCCCTTGGCATCAAGAGGGCCTCAGGAGGGCCCCGATCGAGGCCCAAGACGGGCACGGGAGGGACCCAAGACGACCCCTGAGGCTCCCAGTAGAATTCCAAGAGAGCACAGAAGAGGGCCCCAGGAGGGCTCCAAGGCGTTCACATCGTGGAAGTGCGGGGAGCGTGCGGCTTTGTGCACACCCAGAGCCCAGTTGTGTAAAAAAACGTTTCGGGCGTTTTCTTTCAGTTTTAAATGTTGCTGGTTGTGGTGGACAAAAACGAAAAGAAAACGGTAGCCAAACATGGGTTAAACACAAATCGTGTTCGAGCTGGGGACGAAGAGAACACGGAGTGCCAAAACGTTGGGGAACGCGTTGTCGAAACGGCTCAAACATGAACGGCGTTTGTGGGGGTAGTTGGAAACCAACGGAACATGTCTCGAATACGGTTCAAAATCGGCGCGGCAAGGCGCGGTTCCGTTCTGGAGCTGAAAACGGAAAGAAAAAGGTCACCGAAAACGAATGAAAAACGGAGTTCGAGATTGAAAGAAAACGGCGGTCCCAAATTCCACAAACCATTAAAACAACGGCAACTATAACGGAAAGAACACGTCGATCTTGAAAACGGAAAATCGCCCCCAGTGTTGTTGAAGAACATCTAAGACCCCGAGGTCACCAGGAGATCCCGAAACAGAGGAGAGCCACAATTGTTTCTCCATGAAGGCCTCAGGAGATCCCTGAAGGCCTCAAAGACGCTCCCAAGACACCCCTCCAAGAGAGGCCCAAGAGGGCTCCAGCCTGTCCAAATCTCAAACATGTGAACCAGACCACTTGTACAAGACGCCGAGATGCACGCTGACTGCAGCAAGAGGCCCCCAGAGGCCGCCAAGAGGGTTTCAACACGCCCCCCAGAGCCCTCCAAGATGCCTTCCAGAGGTCCTCAAGAGGCCCCCCAAGAAGGCTCCCAGAGAACCCCGCCAGCGCCGAAAAGCGCAACATTCATCCTCACCCGGATATGTCATAGTCCGACGTCCGTGTCATCCCCCTGTGGACCTATTCTTTCTCCCAGTTTGCCTTCCACATGCTGTCCAAATCATGGGGGAAGTTCTTCGACGTGGGGAGACAGGCGATGATTGACACCCACTCCGGAGGGAACAAATGGGTGTTGACATATCATGTTGATTCAACCACTTGCGTCCAGGATTCAGTTTCTGAGCGATTACTTCATTTTCCATTATAGCACTATTCAAGCACTTCTTCACGATTCGCGTATCCCCACCAGCTCGTTCAGAAACCCTGTCCATGAGAGCTGACAGGAAAGGGGACGACGGGGTGGCCTTGGAGGGCCTTTTCGGACTATCCTTGGGGACTGCGGAGGGGCGAGGGGAGGAGGAGGAGGAGGAGGAGGAGGAGGAGGAGGAGGAGGAAGAGGAGGAGGCAAGCCGCCTCTTGGGGCCTCGTGGGACGCTTGTGGGGCGCTCTTGGGGCCTCTTGGGGCCATCTCGTAGGGCGTCGGTCAAAGGAGGGGGGGGGGTCCCACAGTTCCCCACCCCTTCTGGGTCCCTAAAAATCGCCTCTTGGGGCGCTCTTGGGCTGTCTTGAGGCCGTCCGGGGGGCCGCTTGGGCCCGTCGTGAGGCTCTCTTGGGCCATCGTGGGGCAATCTTGAGGCCGCATGAGCGCATTGGAAGCGAAACAGCGAGAACGCAGAAGTCATGGACTCGTCTTCCAGTGTTTCAAGGATTTGGGCCTCTTGCGGGGGTCGTGAGGAGGTTCCGGGAGCGTTTGAAACAGTCGTGTGGCCCTCGTCGGACCTCTTGGAGGTACGCCGGAAGTTATCTTGAACCATCTTCGGTTATTTCGAGCCGTCTTGGAGGCTATCTTGGAGCATCGGCCGCCCTTTGGGAGACACCTTGGGCAAAAATAGACCCTCCATCACCTGGCGCCCTCCCCCCAAAAAAATCTCAGGGAGGGGAGGGAGGGTACCCCTCCCGAAGGAAAGCTGGTTTTGTAAGAGGAGAGAAAGGACTCGTGTGACCACCTGCGCCTAAAGGGTGGGATTGGTAGTAGTGTGTATATGTGTGTGTGTGTGCGTGTGTGATAGCACAGTTTCTTTGTTTGCGAGATGTCTTGCGCAACGCGCTACACTATTCTCGCCCCGCGCGGAGGAAGAAAGGAGATGACCTGCACTCGGCCGTGATTCGCGGCGGGGGGTGGGAGCCAGTAGCAGGCATGCTTCTTTTGCTCGGCGGCGAGCGAGGGGGGGGAAGTGAGAAGGGGCGGGCCTTCTCAGAAGGCTTGGAGGTCCCCCGGCCTTCCGAGAAGTTTTCTAAGTCTTCCCCAACGATTCTAGAAAAACAACAAGCCTCTAAGAAGGCGCGAGGGCTTCTGAGAAGCCCCGCCGCCTCCTGCGAAGGCCTCCTCCTTCTCGTTTCCCCCCCTCGCTCGCCGCCGATGTGCAGCAGCAGCTCAGCAGCAGACGGGGCCGGCGAGAGCGACCAGCTTTTTGCACAGCGATCCCCGCTGGCCGCGCCGTCGCAGAACACGGTGCCGAAGGTCTGCCAGCACATGGCCGAGCCGTCCGGTGCAGCCTGGCTGTGCGGCGCGCCGGGGCCTCGGCGGGTTCGGCTGTGCGCTGCACGGCCTCGCCACGGCAGCAGTGAGAAAGCACTGCTGAGACATCGGCACCCTGGACGCGCTGGTTTCCACTCGTCGATGTGATCCGCTCATGTCGGCGGCGAGGGCGGGGGGGGGGCAGTGAGAGGGTAAAGGCCTTCTCAGAAGGCGGCGGGGCTTCTCAGAAGGCGTCGCGCCTTCTGAGAAGTTTTTGGTGTCGTCGGGGAAGGCCTAGAATTTTTTTCGCAAGGCCCGAGAACTTCCGAGCCTTCTGAGAAGATCTTCTTCTTCTCATTTTCCCCCCATGCTCGCCGCCGGTTCGTTTCACTCATCGATCCGGTCGGTTCATTGGCACGGTTTGCTCAGCTAGTCGGACACGACACGAATTGTAGGACGTACCCTCGTCTTAGGAGGAGAGCCCAGACAAGCCGAAGGCAAGCGGACGGGCGGACGGGCACTGAAGAGCACATGCAGGTTGGCAGTGCGCACGCATGTTGAAAACAGGCGAATGTCAGCTTGACGGCATGCACGGAACAATGCACGTTTGAACCGAAGTAGAACAAGTGGAGCCGCCCCAGTTAAAGTGTGATTGACCGGTTGAAAGAAGGCTGCAGGCAAATGGAATCGCAAGTCGAACGCAATGGAATACGTAACCCAACGTAAAGCCGTAAGCGCGCGAAGCACATGTTCCTGACGGTTCTCGTAATTGTCCCCATGCCCAGGCGAGCTGCAGTGGTCAGAGAAGTATAGGGGACAAGCGGTGGAATCTAAGAGGGGGAGAGCCGTCACACCGAAGAAGCTCGGGGTCCGCCTGAGCAGACGCAGGCGTCAATCGTAAGTGCCTTCTCGGATTCAGGAGGGGAAAAGAAACACACAGACACAATTAATCGTCGACTCCCAGGAAAATACGGGAAAATATGGGAAGTGGGGGGGAAGACAGAAACCCAGAAAATATATGAAAATATTGGGAATATTTTCATTTGTGTGTATTTATTTGTGTGTCCCAGGGCCCCTTCACGGATCTTCTGCTCTTGGCAGCCAGCTCGGACCATCTTGGTAGCCCCTTCGGGGCCGTTTTGAATACCTTTGGGGGCCCTTTGGGGGTCCTCTAGGGGCGTCTCGGGCCGTCTTCGGGCGATCTTGAGGGTCTCTGGGGCCGCCTTGGAGCGTCGGAAGCCTGAGCAGGCGAGACCGCTAGATTCTGCCCAAACTGGAGGCGAATCACCAACATGGGCCTCTTGGGGCGTCGGGCGCCGTTTTGAGCGCCCTCTGGGCGTTTTGATGGCCTCTTGGGCCGTCGGGAGAGTGTCTTTCAGGGGGAAAAGAAACACACAGACACAATTAATCGTCGACTCCCAGGAAAATACGGGAAAATATGGGAAGTGGGGGGGGAAGACAGAAACCCAGAAACTATAGGAAAATATTGGGCATATTTTCATTTGTGTGTATTTATTTGTGTGTCCCAGGGCCCCTTCACGGATCTTCTGCTCTTGGCAGCCAGCTCGGACCATCTTGGTAGCCCCTTCGGGGCCGTTTTGAATACCTTTGGGGTCCCTTTGGGGGTCCTCTAGGGGCGTCTCGGGCCGTCTTCGGGCGATCTTGAGGGTCTCTGGGGCCGCCTTGGAGCGTCGGAAGCCTGAGCAGGCGAGACCGCTAGATTCTGCCCAAACTGGAGGCGAATCACCAATATGGGCCTCTTGGGGCGTCGGGCGCCGTTTTGGGCGCCCCTTGGGCGCTTTGAGGGCCTCTTGGGCCGTCGGGAGAGCATCTTGGGCGTCTTGGAGCCGCCTTGGGCCGTCTCGGAGGCCCCTCGTCTCTCTTGGAGCCGTCGGGCCTGTTTGGGGAAGTTGCGCGACAGACCGCTGGGGCACGCGGCTCGCCCCAGAGCCATTCGGCGGCGAGCGAGGGGGCGAGACGCGTCGGGCGATGTTTCTCCCCCAATCCCCGAGTTTCGCCCGAAAAGTCTGGCCGCTCAGAAGAATGGGAAAACCCTGGGATACACCCCAAGGGGGCTATTCGGACGCACCCTATCGAGAATGGACACCCCCCCATCGTATATCCCAGGGTTAGGCCCCAAATTTCTGGTCCATTCGGAAACCCCACGAAGCCTGGGATAGGGGTCGACATATCCCCTGTTATTATCAGAAGGCGGCGGGACTTCTGAGAAGCCCTCTCGCCGTCTTAGAGGTTTCCAGCGTCTCCGGGGGAGGCTCAGAAAACTTGACTTTCAGAAGGCTGGTGGACTTCCGAGCCTTCCGAGAAGGCCCGCCCCTTCTCGCTTCCACCCCTCGCTCGCGGCACGCTCCAGGTGACGCTCCATATCGGGCCTCGCGGCACGGAGATGGGTTCGTCGATGAAATGCGATCGGCGTTACCCTAACATGCTAGTACTATGTGAGCGTCACCCTCCAGGGGCGACGCGCGCACCGAGCAATCTTATAGTACATGCGCTGTGGCTGGCACTTTCTGGCCACACCGCTCGGGAAACGATATACTACAAGATGGCTATACTATAAGTTTGGGTCGGTCGCACGCCTCCGAGGAGGACGCAGAGTACTAGTAACTAGTATGTCCTTGTGCGTCCCAACGTGAGGACGCTCCAGCTCGAGCCTCGCGGCACGGAGGTGGATTCGTCGATGCATTGGGAACAGCACATTGAACCATGCATGCCTAATCGTTTTTGTTGTTTGGAACGGATCCCGTGGAAATGATTGGTTCGATGGGGAAGGAATGCCCTACTGAATTTACTTTTTGGCTTTAGACGCAGCAGGTTTTCCGCCGCGTTAGCCCATGGGCGTTCTCCTCATCAGCTCAGAAAGCCCCATGCAACAATGTAATGTGTAATGTCGTACCTTTTGCTATTCGTGCCCCTGTCCTCCTTTATATTTTTTTTCCGTATCCATATCCCTCTTCCTTTCTCCCGCCCTCTTTTTCTCGTTCCTGCCCCCACCTCAACTCACCTTCATTTTTCCCTAGGAAACTTCTAAAAATGGTTCGAGGCATCACAACTTCCAAGGGACCTGGAGAATCACCCAACCCTCCCAGAAGCTCATCCTCCTCCCATTCCTCCTCTGTTTTCTCCTTTTCGCCCCCCTCCCACTTGACGACTCTCACGATGCTTCCCATGACGACGACTACGACGACGACTACACAACGATGGCGGCGCGATGACGTCGAGGATATTTGTTTTACCCTCTGGCGCGTAGCTGTCGTTACTGTTAAACTGCCCCCGCCAGGACACGGTAACGATCGTACGAAGGGGGGTGGGATGCGGGCTAGACCCCCCCCACTTGCTCACATGTCCGTGCTTGCGCGCGTGCTGTGGCGATCGCAGCGCAGCCCCTCCCCTCCCCGACGTGCCCCACCCAGCCCAGGCGAAGTTATCTGGGGCCCCAGCCTCCCCGCCCCAAGCGTAGGGACGATGAAATGGCAGTCTCGAGGACGACGTTCCCAACGATTGCGAATACGACGGCGTCCTCCTCCTCGTCCTCCGGGCGTCCGGCAGGCAAGCGGGAGAAGCTCCGGAAGTTGCTGCTGCACGGCGCTGGGGGCGTCGCGCTCGACGTGAACGGGCCGATGAAGGACAACGCGGAGGTGACCGCCCCTCTCCTCTCTCCTCTTCCTCCGTCCACTTCCTTTCGCGCCTTCCATCTTTCCCTATCCAATTCCCCTCTTCTCGTTTCATCCTCTCGCAGCGATGTCATATCGTTTTTGCTCCCCTGGTTCGAGTCAGTCGCTACCTGGGCCATTCCCTCCCCCCCCCGGGGTAATGGTAACGTAAGATCGTACGTGAGGGATTGGGCTTGGGCCCCCCCCCCTCGCGTGTTGGTGTTCGTACGTATATTACAGCGATCGCAGCGCACCCCCGCTCCGGCGTGCCCTGCCCCGCCCAAGCGTTACCGTTATCCGGGGCCCCAACCCGTGCCCACCCCCCCGGTAATGACCGTTGCAAGCATTTGTTGCAAAAAATCAGCAATCTCTGAACAGCACGCCTGGGCTCAGCACCAGGACTCCTACATCCGCGTCTGAGCAGCACGACGAGCCCCTGCAGCATGACGATGAGCAGCGCGACGGTGTCACCATCAGCACGACGATTGACAGCACGGCGGGCTCAAGCGGCACGTTGTTGACCAGCACGACAGAGTGCAGCATACTGCCTTCTCTATCGACTCATGCTCGGCACGACAGCCACCAGCAGCACGACGAGGAATAGCATGACGGGGTTTATCGGTCTAGCGCTGAACAGTACGCTTGGGCTCAGCATCAGGTCTCCCACACCCACATCTGCGCAGCACGACGGTCACCAGCAGCATGACGATCAGCAATACAGCACGGCGGGACCCAACTGCACGACGTTGAACAGCACGACGAAGCAAAGCATGCCAGTTCATACATCTGCGCATGCGCAGCAGCGGTACAGACAGCCACCAGCAGCACGACGATGATTGGCGCGATGCGATGCTGACCACTACGACAGAGTGCGGCACACAGATTCCTACATCTGCATCTGTGCAGCTCCCATTTTGGCATCTGTGCAGCACCACCTACAACTGACGCCATCTACCAGTACCGACGCCCTCTACCAGTACCGACGCAGGTCCTACTGAGATGGCGATTCAGGCTCTGGCCCCAACTCCTACGCCGTTCGACGAGCACATCCCTGTGCAGCAATTCGGGCACCCGCCGCATGACGCCAGCGCCAATTCCGACTCCAGCTCCAATTCCTTTTCCAACGTTTGTTCTGACCATATGGTCCTGCGCCTTCGATCGTACCCGCTAAGGGGTATATATCTGTCTTATCTGCAACGTGTATTTCGTGCAGCCCCTCAGGCAGGTGGAGAGAGGACAGAAAGAAGGAAGGGACAAGGGGCCCGCGGGTTGCTGAAGCGTGTGTCCTGCATGAATCACGAGGAAGTGTCGAGCGATAGCGCGATCCCCAAATCTGTCGAGATGGAAACCATAGCGAGAGCTTGAGTCCTGAGTGTCGAGGGCGCGGCGTTTGGATACTTTGCGAGGAAGTCCCACGCGAGAGCCCGATTCCTGCAAAGATTGTGAGGAAGTCTCGCGCGAAAGCAATATTGGGGAGTATCGTGTACTAAAGCATGAGGCGGGAGCCGCTGCTGTTGTAAAACAGGGGCCAGGGGCTTCGTTTGGTGGTGCCAGACGTTCGCTTGTCAAAGGCGCCGCATTTTCGTTCGTAAAAAAGACAGGGTGCGAGCCCCAGCCGACGCACTTTAATTGAAGCTTGCAATAATTACTGGGCAGGGGGGATAAACACCCTTTTTTGTTAAACATAAGAACTCAACAACAACAGCAACACCACCGACAACCACACCAGCAACACCACCAGTACCAACATCAGCAACAATTATCAGGCTGTTCGCTCTTATCTGCTCGCGGGCCATTCAACACGTATATCCCAAACCCTCGATACCCGCCCGATTCGTCTTCGATCGTATTTTCGGATGGAAGGAACGGACAAGGGGGAGGGCGGAACATGGAGCACGAGAGAGTGTAGCAGAAGGGGGGGCTAGGAGCAGAAACACGTAGCGGAACCAGACGGGCAGATCGGGCGGCTAGACCTTAGCGGGCGCGTCGGGAAGGCGGGCCCAGGCGGCCAGGTCGAGCGAGCGGATTACTGAAGCGTGCGTCCTGCATGAATCGCGACGGAGGTTTCGAGTGGTAGCGCGATTTCCAAATACATCGCGAGGAAATCCGCAGCGAGAGCGTGATTCCTGAGTGTCGAGGCCGCGGCGTCTGAATCAATTGCGAGGAAGTTCCACGCGAAAACGCGATTATTGCATACATTGTGAAGAACTCCTTTGCGAGCGCCCGACTTAGGAATAAGTTGTATGGACGTATCAGGCGGGAGCCGCTGTTGTTATCAGTCGGGGGACGCCTTGTTTTCCAGTGCGGAAACATGGTACGAGCCCCCAAACATTGTTTTCAACAAAAATGGTAACCGGAGGGGTGATCAGTAACACATGTTCGTTAGAAATGAAAGCTCTACGAATTCAGCAGCAGCAACAGCAGCAACAATCTGTTTAGGGCTGTTCGCTCTCACTTGCTCGCGTGCCATTGAACACGTGTATCCCGATTCCTTGATGCCCGCCTTTTTCGCCTTCGATCGTCCCCCATCCGGGGACCCATATCATCCTGACCTGTCGCGCGTAATTGCTAGGCGCAGCCCCTGAAACATGGGGAAGAGAGGGCGGAGGGAAAGGCCGAGGGAGATGGATGGCACACGGATTCTGCAGGAAGTTGTGCGGGACTTTGTGGGCCGTTTTTTCATCGTTTCCAGAAAAATTCCCCTTGAACATGGAAACGGGGGGAAAAAAAAAAAACGGCGACCGGAAACGGCAAAAAAACGGCTTCAGGATTGGAACCGGAGCTGGAACCGGTCAAAAAACGGCGACGGAACCGGTAAAGAAACGGCGTCGGAACCGGCAACAGAAATGGCAGAACGGAACCGGTAACAAAAACGGCCCTGTCGTTTCCAGGGCCCACTAAGGTCCAGGAGCAGAAGCCACGTGGCAGCACCTGACGGTCCGATCGGGCGGGCTTTTCCCTCGGGCAGGTCCGGCGGGCGGGCCCGCACGGCGGGGTCGAGCGACCCTGGTCGCGGAAGCGTCGAGCCACCATGCATCGCAGGGGGGTTTCGAAAGAGATTCTGGCCGCAGTGACAGAACGAGCGAACGCACGAGGGTGCCCAGGACTGCACTTGAATTCGCGTCATGCCCCTCACACGGTGCCCACCGCGACAAGGACCTGCAGGGCGAACGTCAGCCGGGGCGACTGCACGCGAAAAGGCTCGCCCGCAAGTTCTTGTCGAGAACCTTGACCATCTCACCGGAGGCGTCGATGCAGACAGCGTAGCGCGACGAAGTGGAGTCGAAGAACTTCACGACGCCGCACTTGCCCGCCAGATCTGGGCGAGACACCAGATCGCCGAGCACCACCGCCTGACCCTCAGCGAAAGTCGCAGCACTAGCCGAAGTTGGGACCTGCGAAGGCGAAGACGAAGGTGAAGCTGAAGCCAGCGCGCGAACGCCGCGTGGAGAGCGTTCCCGAGAGGACCGGGGAGCCAAGACGCGCGCCGGCCTGCTGGGAGCAAGCTCCGCAACCACCGGGGGCACTGCCAAGGCAGAAGTTGCCGGCGGAGCAACCTCAGGGACGCCACCGGCTGGCGGCGGCAACTCCGGACCACCGTCCACACCCTCCATAACAGCCTGCTTACCCTTCTTCTTCTTGGCGCGCTTCTTCTTTCCCTTGACGCCGCCGCCCACAGCGCCGTCGCCAGCGCCAGGAGCAGGAGCCACGGGACGAGGAAGTGCAAGCAGCGCCGCAACGGCCGCCCGCGCCAGCGCCTCCGAAGAACGGAGAAGGCGCGCTGCCTCGCGCAGCCCGGCGGCAGCGGCAAGGCTGGCGGCGGAGTGCGAGGCAAGAGCAGCAGCGCGAGCCGCTTCCGTGCAGTGGGACTGCGCAAGCGCCATCGGCATCAGAGGTGTGAGGTCAAAACGAGCTCGACACAACTTGAGCCAGAATGACTGGTTTCGAAAGAGAGCGCGATTCCAAAAAGGAAGTCGTCAGGAAGTCCAAAAGGAGAGGGCGTGATTCTCGAGTCCCGAGGGCGCGGCGCAGCAGTAGACTGCAATTGAAGTGCCACGCGGGAGCGCGATTCCTTCATACACATTGTGAGGCCGTCCCGCGCGAGAGCGCGAATCTGAAGTACAATGTGAGGAATTATTCGGCGGAAGCTGCTGTTGTTGCAAACCGGGGAGCAACAACCCAGATTGGTGACACCATATGCCCTTGTTAGACACAAGGTGCGAGCCTTGGAGGGGGCACT